CCCACCTAATATTTTCATTCCCATCCCCTTGGCGGGTTCAATATTCATCCCCATCTCCGCCCTGGCGGGTACAACTCCAAAACCATCCACGCCTCCCCCCCCCCACTTGGATATTCATCCCCACCTTATCCCCACCAAAGACCCACGTAATACCCACCCAAGACCCACCTTATCTTCGTCTCTCAAATACACAATCCTACATAATTACTACGGATTATAATAATAAAAATAAATTCTTAAAATTACACACTTTTTTATTTATAATACAAGTATAGTACAAAGTATTATTCAAAAAAAAAAAAGTATAGTACAAAGTATTATAATTAATATTTTATTTCAAGTAATTATTTTATAAAATAGTATAGAAGTATATAATTTTGCTTTTAAAGATATATAGACGGGGTATGAGGTGGGTATGAAGTCGGGCGGGTGGGGCGCGGGGAGGGGGATGGGGCGGGTACAACTTAAAATCCACCCCCGCCCCATCACTTATGGCAGGTATGGTTTTTATCCCTATCCCTGCCCCACCACCCGCTAAACCAAGATCCATCCTCGCCCCATTGGGGCGGGGATGGGGCGGGTCTCCAACTTGACCCGCCCCACTGACATCCCTAATCAGGTGTTTGGGATGACTGGTGTGTCTTATCCAAATTACTATTTAAATTGGTTTAGGCTTTGTTTTTATTAATTGCGGTAGAAAGCTGCTTAATAGCCTGTTTTATATTAATAAAGAAGGAGCTAGACCTTAGGCAATTAGGCTGATTGGCAAAATTTTGTCAATCTGTCGTCCTTGTGGGCCCCAGTGTACCAGATATTGCTTTTATATTCACTTGTACTTCTCTTGCTAATTGACGTAAAATTACCGTTAATGTGGGCCAACCAAAGTCTCAAGAAACGTCGAAAAGCAAACGGTTAATTTAATATTTCAATCCAAAATACTACCTCCGGTCCATATTACTCGCAACTTTGGGGTATTATTTGTGAAATATAAAATATTTTAAAGTTGCGAGTAATTTGGACCGGAGGTAGTACATGTTCCTTGGGTTTAGCCAGTGACAACATTTTCATCCCAAATTGACATCTTCATTTAGATTTACTGGCAGATCCTCGTGAGTTTGGAAGATGACATAGGAGAAGGTTCATCGTGTCCACACAACTATAATTGCGTACTCGTAATCCCAGGTGTTAGGATTTCGGTATTTGTTTTTAAATTAGGTTTGTTTGTACAGATTAGTGTTGTTTAGATCTGTTTTTGGAATGTCGGGGTTAGCTGATTTGCTTAAAGTGTTTGTAATTTATAATTAGTATTCATCATGTGTTACGATATTTGAGCACCAATTATGGCATTTTGTAGAATAATATGGCAATTAGTGATTGCAATAAATTGCTCGGAGAATGCCGTGACATCATAATTAGTCGTGGAATAAAATTAAATTCAAGACCAGAAGGTTGCAGAAGATGATGTCGCAGTAAAATTCAATTACAAAAAATCAACACCATAGGTTGGAGAAGATGAAGTAGCAGTAAAAATAAATTAGGGCTTCAGATTGGGAAAGTGAAATACACGGTGTGAAATGGCTTGACTAACAAAGCCGTTAGTCAAGAACATGAACCAGAATCTACTGTTTGCTAACCTTCTTTGTGTGGTTACGTTTTTACTCTCTACTAAATATGTGAAAAGACGAAAGCATCCCCTGATGTACAAAATATGTTAATCAGGCTGATGAACTAGTATTTTCCCAATAAAGAAGATCTGGTTTCTTTAAATACAATGATGAAGGCATTTTTTAATGTGAGTTGAATGAAGAAATCGAGACTAGCAGGTCGAAACCTTGTCTACTCAATGGTTGGAGAAGAAAGATTCATTATTGACCTGCCTATGGGAATTGTGAGAAATTTTCAGCAACAAAGATCAAGATTTGAACTTGTTAGAACTTACATCCTCTGTTAGTTGATTTCTACTTTTAGCATTTATTCCTCACATAATAGAGAGAAGTAGTAGATAAATCACGAATTAATACTTTGAGTGAGTTGAAGATGCAATTAAGAAAATAGTTTGAATTAATCATCTTTGACAAGAATTTTAGTGTGTAATAAATTCACTAAATTGTTTGAAATATGCATGTTTTGTTATTTGTTGAAAAATTAAAGGAAATGAAGATTGAAAATAATCATAATACATGAAGGGTTTGATACCATTGATTTCTTATGAGGTAGAAACATCAAATTATGTATTCTTTGATGATGTCCTAAGGTTGGCGGAATAACTTTAGAAGCAGGATAATTGGGAAACTTCTTACGTCAGAGAGAGTAAAATATTATTCTTGACTAGTGTTATCCCATGGATGGTTGGTCAATACAGCCAAAGTATAAACCAAATAATAATTAATAAAATAAGTATATAAACCACACATCAATTAGTAATAAAATACTACCTCTGGTTCATTTTAGTTGCAACAATTTCCATTTTGGGGTGGTTCAAATTACTTGCAACAAATTTTTTTTTCCTTATTTGGTAACTTTTGTCCTGTAAAATGACATATATGCCCTTACTTTTTTCCTAATCTATTTTATTAATACTCCTAATTTCATTTGCTTAGTTTGATGATTTAATTAATTAATTTAACTACTCCCACCAAATTTACCCCCTTCCCCTTTAAATTCCTTCATCTCCCAACCATCTTCATTGAATCTGCATTCAATTCTGGAAAATGGTTGGGAGAATTAAATTCTGGAAATTTTTTCCAGAAATCACACCCCCTCTCAAACCCTACCTTTTTAAATCTCTCACTCTCGTCCTCTCTTATTCTCTCTCCTCTTCGCCTCCTCTTTCTCCTCAAAAAATCTGGGTTCTTTCCCCTTTCTCTCTCTTCATCTTCTGGGTTTTTTTTACAATGATTCACCTTAATTCACTCTTGAAATGTCTTCTTCTCAACCAAAAATAATAGATCTGGTAAGCCATGAGTCCCTTTCTTCTGGATCCACACGATCCCCACCTAAACCTGAGGCAACCATGTACATACCTCGTCTTGGTTCTGGTGTTATGAAGCCGCTCCGTCGTGCTTATGTAATTGCTAGGAGGAAGATTGTAGGGGCGAATCTTGTTGATTACATCTCAAGCGACGAGGATGAGAAGCCGACAAAGTTTTCCGGGTCAAAAAGGCCTGTTCCGCCACCTCACAGCCCAGATCGGAAGGTTGTTTCCACCAAAGAAGGTGGATCTGCTGCTGTGATGGTTGTTCCAGCTGCTTCACCACCACCAGACGCCAATTCTGAAACTAGGTCTTCTTTTTTCTAGGAGCTGACTGCCGGAGAAGTCCTTCAACCACTTGCTTCCCATCCCATGATGAGTGGGAGTACTTCTGGGACAAGCGCTGGTAAAAAGCGCCTGAGAGGCTTACCTCCAGGGGGGGGGGCAGGATCCAAATGACGTACTGGAGGCTTACCTCCGGATCTACTACCCTCAGTAGTCCCTTCCCCCATACTAGTTGGGCAGCGTAATTTCTAAAACTCTAATTAATCTTGTTCTTCTGTTCCAATTTATGGTTAATTATGCTATTAATGAGTCCCCTGTTCTTTGTTATGCCTAGTATGATAGTGTTGGTTCATTGGGTATGATTTGATGTGTTTCCCGTTATGTTTGGATATGTTGTTTGGGTATGAGTTGTTGGTTGTTTGGGTATGAATTGTTGTTTTTAAATGAATTGTTGAGTCCCCTGTTATGTTTGGATATGATTTTGGGGTATGAGTTGTTGGTTGTTTGGGTATGAATTGTTGATTTGGATATAAATTGATGAGTCCCCTGTTATGTTTGGTTATTATGTTTGGGTTTGAGATGTTGGTTGTTTGGTTATGAATTGTTGTTGGAATATGAACTGGTCTGTTGGTTGACTTGAGGAGTTGTGTTGGTGTGTTGGTTGACTGCTGGTATGATTTTGTTGATGAGTCCCCTTTCCTTGATGCATTGAGTCCCCCCCAGCTTGCATCAAATTGAATTCCATCCAAATGATGAAGGGACTCATCTGATAGCTATTTGAGTGTCATGACTGCTCTAGTTACCTCTTATTGAGGTTTCTATTGAGGTACCATGACTCATTGATGCCTTGAAAGAGAACTGTAACCCTTTCTAATGGATGATTAGTACCCAAAAAAGGTTGTGTTTCCATTAATAACAAAAGGTTGTGATTTGTACAAAACCAAACTAAAGTAGCATACAAGACTACCTAAGAATGTGTAACTTAAGTATGTACCAAAATACACCTAACCAATACCAACAAAAACAACAAAAAAACATGTTAAGATTGTACTGGTTATGTGTGGCAGTCTTTGGCTCACATGGTTTGATTGTGCTTCCTTATATTCTTCAATCTGCATCAACTTCCATTTGAAATTCATTTGCACTTGTACTTGGGATTGTGATTGAATCAAGATAGGAAACAACCTCTGCAATTAATTCCTTGTCTACCTAAAGCAAATCTGGTAAAATACCTTGCCTGTCTAGACTTCTTTTTTTCATGTGTGGTGGTGTATAGTTGTTTCCTCCTTTTCTTGTTAATACCTCAATCATGCATCACTGAAGTGTAATCCAACCGTATTTGTTCAACTCTGGATCAAATACTTTGAATGCTATTTCAACTTCTTTGATGAGATCAACTAAGTTCTAAGGGAATGACTGATACTGCAGTGATTGAATGACATTGAATAATCCTAAGTCTAGAACATTCATGTCTGGTGATTGAGCTGGTTGAAAAACAAATTATATGTTGAATCCATATGCTTGACATGCTTCTTGAAATTCTAGATCTTGTGGTATTTTGTGAGGTCTAGCATTGTCCCATTGAATAGTTATGTCCTTGGGAAGCTGTGGTGGCCATTGTTCATGTATTGTTGGCAACACATTTTTTTTTTTTGGTGTTTAGAGAGCCACAAGGGCGGGGTGAGAATCGATCCTAGGATCTCCTAGAAATCGGGAGGGAAGCTCTAACCACTTGAGCTATCCCTCACTCTCTTGTTGGCAACACATGATTAAGTAGCATGTTCCTTATTGCTTCCTTGTTAATACTCTGGACTGCCTTAGCCTCTATGGTTCCCTTGTCTCTGTTTTTACTCTTTTTCTTTGCTTTCTCATACTTGACAAAAGGGAAAAGACCATACTTCTCATCATGTAATAATTGTTTGTTTGCATCATACAATGGTTTCCCAATCATGCCCATAAACATAGCCTTTATCTTAAACCTTATGGAAAGTTGTGCTCTGTATGGATTGTCTTCTGTTGGAAGAAGATAGAATGTCCTTGTTTCAGGGTTTATAAAAAACCACTTTTCATCAATGTGTATCCATTGTTGCATGTCTTCAAATGAAGAGTCCCCTTCTGCTGGAATTGGGGTAATGTGAATCAGAACCCATTTCATTCTTGCTATTTTATATTGGTCAGTGAGTGCTGGTTTGTTTGTGCTTGTGTGTGTTCTCAGTCTACCCCTTTTCCTTAACCTGTGAATAGCAGACTTAGACACATGAAGTGCTGCATCATATCCTCTTTCAGTTTGTCTTTTGTACAAAGGCACAAATGTTAAGAATTCATCAGTGTACTCCTTTAGTTTTCTGCCAACAATACCTATTTTTTTGGTCCTAACATCTACAGCATTGCCTTCTAAAACGTGTTGCTTAATTACCTTAAACCATCTTGTTGTTGTTGATCTATGCACATGATGCTTTCTGGCCAAACTGGATAAAAATCCTCTTGGCAAAGAGTCCCCCTCCATATTGAGCATGATCTCATCAACTAGTTGGCGCTTTTCTTCCACTGTCATTTCTCTGCTTTGTCTGCCATACATATGCAGTGGACCATGTAGTTCACCATCATCATCTGCATTATAACCAGCTTCTTCTTCTGAGTTGCTGTTGTCTTCTTCAGTTTCTTCTTCTGTGAAATGATGCCATGCTGCCATTGTCTGCTCCTCATTGTACAGTTGATTTTCATTAAAAAAGAGTTCTTCAAAGAACTCTTCCATGAGTCCCTTACCTTTTTTTTTCAGGCTGTCTGAAGGTGATGAAGTGGTGGTTGGAATTTTTTGGATGGTCTTCAACGGAGCCTAGAAGAACTGAACATGGATGCTGCTTTTGTTTAACTTAGCACTGTGAATTTAGGCTAGTTTTAAACTAATTGTAGGCTTTTGTAATTTGTAGGCTTGTGTTTTGTGAACAATGAATTATTCACCCTAAACCCCCAAACCCCTTCCTGATCTGTCTTTTGGTTGAAAAACAAACTGTTTGTGCTTTGAAAATTCCCCTTTTTATAAGGGGAATTGATTTGAATGTTAAGAAAACAGGTTTTGGGGTATTTTGGCAAAAATTCTGAATTTCCCTTGAAAATTTGGGAGGAAAATTCGTGGGAAACAAAAAAAAAGGGAAGTCCCTCTTAAAATTGGCTGGAAATTTAGGAGGGAATTCCCACCCATGTGAAAAGTCAGATTTTTTTGGGTGGGAAAACTCCACCTCACCAAACTTTCCCACTTGTTTTACTTTATTAAAAAAGGGGACCACATGCTTTCCCTCCTTTTTAACTCCCTTAATTACTTAATCTTCACATGCATTAAGCCCCTTAAAAGTTTTGCCTAGGTTTGCGTAAAGTTGTACTTTGTTGCAACTAAAATGAACCGGAGGTAGTAAAAATAATAATAATAATAATAATAATAATAATAATAAATAAATAAATAAATAAATAAAAATAAAAAGTTATACTCGTATTAATTTATATGTTTTACTGCAAAGCTTGGTGGAGTTGGTAGGAAACTCAACTTGTGACTTTGAGGTCATGAGTTTGAGCCCCACCAACTACAAAATGCTTGGGAGTAGAGGGATTTTACCTCCCCCCTTTATTCTCAAACGATAACCTGCGGAGTTAGGCTGGCTAAAAGAGGTACCAGCTCAATAGAGTCCTTCATCTTAACAAAAGTTATACTCATAATTAATTTATACATTCAAAAAATTATCGAATCTTACAATAGAATGAAATAAATATAACTAATATTTCACAATTCAATTGAAGCAAAAATCGATCAACTTAATAATGAGTAATGACTCGTGCAACTAATTAAGCATTAGGAAAATTCCACCTTTTGAGCATCGTAGATTAATAATCCCACCTTTGGGATTCTTTTTAATAATCCCACCTTTGATATCAATCTGCTAAAAATAGTCCCATGTGACTAGTAACCGGTTGAAGAGGTATTTTTTTTATTTAAGTTTATTTTACACGTGTAACAATTTAATTTGTCCAAAATTAAAAAAATAAAATAAACATTAAAAAAATCAAATAAAAAAACCCACCACCACCAACTGAGTTTCAGCCACCACCATCCCCACACACCACCAAAACCCAGCCCGAAACCATCGCCCAATCCAGCCCGAAACCACTGCCACCAAGACACCACTGTGGCACTGCGCCGACTAGGAACCAAAACCAGCCAGCCTAACCCCAAATGCCCTTTGAAAAATCAGCACCCACCAAACCAATTAATCCCTTCGAAAAATCGCAACCCCTTCGAAAACTGCGTGAATCGAGATTAGGGAAGGACAGAGAGGTCGGAATGGGGGATAGGGAAGGCTGACGCGATCGAAAAAGGGATGGAGGACGGTGAGGGGTTGGTATCGCGACGGGATCGAAAGGGGTTTTCGAGGGGAGGGGGCTGGTGGTGGCTCGCTTCGCTTTTGTTGCGGATCTGGGTTTACGAGGGAAGGGGTGAGTCGAGACACGGCGCCGGAGCAGGAGTTGTCGTCGGAGGTTGGGTGCTGGAGTCGTGGGGCTGGTGGTGGCTTGGGCAACTGGTGGGTGGTGGATGGTTTTATTTTTATTTATTTATTTTTCTTATAAAATACTTCACGTTTTTAAAATTTTATTTTATTTTTATTTTTTTAACCAATCATAAGCCACCACGTGTCAAGTAACTTGTTATAACAGGTTACTTGAGCGGTTGGGACTATTTACAGTGGATTGATATCAAAGGTGGGATTATTAAAAAGAATCCCAAAGGTGGGATTATTAAAAAGAATCCCAAAGGTGGGATTATTAATCTCCGATGCTCAAAAGGTGGAATTATTAAAAAGAATCCCAAAGGTGGGATTATTAATCTCCGATGCTCAAAAGGTGGGATTATTCTCATCAATTTTTCCTAAGCATTATACACCACTAAAGAATGAAACAACAAGTTCATTGAAATAAAAACCTTATTTAACACCAAATTACAAAGAAAAATTTGCACCACGAAACAAATTTCCTGGGCATCTAAAACGTATACATTTTTGTCAAAAAAAAAAAGTATATAGATTAATATTAATGATTTAGGGCCTGTTCACTTCAGCTTAATTTCAGTTCAGCTCCAATTAGTTCAGTTCAGCTCTGTAGACACCCATTTGTGTCTCCCCAAAACCAAACCTAGTGTTGAGTACCTTTCGCGTCGAATCATAATCGAATGAAGTGAAAGTGTGGAAAGTTTAGTGTTGCGGAAAGTTTTAATTTCTTTTCTCTTCTCTTTGTTTCTGAAAACTTATTTTAAGAAAACAGCCAATCTTGTTTGTTTGGTCCATGATATAGGTCCAATAATGGTGTAGTTGGATGGGGCTTGACAAGAGCTTTCCAACGATATATTATAAGCCCAATTCCGATGAATATTGAGGAAGTTATGGCCAATTTACTAAACTGGGCCCGGTTTGAGCATTATGCGGCCCAATGATCTAGGGGAGGGTCTAATATGATTTATCATTCCTAATGCAATTAGGAATGGTTTTAGTCTTCTAGATTCTTCTAGAAAGTTCTTTTCATTCCTAATTCAATTAGCATTGATAAATTAACTTTTGTCGACTTTTCAGAGTTTTAATTAAAATCAAAAAGCATTTTTGAGGAAAATACGATTTTATCCTCCCGTACGGCAATTTTTATCTGATTTTGAGAAAACGCGTAATTTTTCAAATCAGCGCCAAACGCCAGCTGTAGCGCCTGGCGCTACGCTTGGCGCCAGTGTTGGCGCCTGGTGCCATCAGCCAGCGTTGGCGGTGGTTCTGTTTTTTGTGCGCCAGACTCTGTTTTAATAATTTTATCTTTTTGGCTGATTTTCTTTATAAATAATGTCGTAAAAACTCCGTTTTCATTCACCTACAACCAGTTTTAACCAGTTTCATCAACAATCATCTATTCACCAACTCTCATCAGATTCTCTTGATTACTCTCTCTCTCTCTTTTCTAAACTAGCTTTTACATACAAAATTCCGCATTAATTAGATTTAGACACACCTAGCCACTTTCGAAGTTGCCTTCGCCCTAGACATGAAAGGTTTAATTTTTGAGGGTTTGGTCCCAAATCTCTCTTTCAATTATGTAATTTAATTGTTTTGATTATTATTTTCCTTGAAGTTACTAACGTGTGTATTTTGTTGTTAGAAAAAGGTACGAGGCATCAAAGTAAGTACTTTAATGGTTTTTATTGATGTTATGATGTAGAAATCATGCTTAGATTGTTATTTTAATTCCTAGTATCATGTCTATGGTAACTTTAATATTAAGTATGATTAAAAGTATGATGCCTCTTATGTTCTTCCTAATATTTATGATTGTTAGTATCATGTTAGGGTTAAAGATTTGATTTTTAATGCTTAGTGACATACTAGGGTTTATTATTAATCTTGTTAGTATCATGCCTAGGATCTTGCTATTATTATGCTTTAATGTTGATATGATTATTTTAATTATGATTTATGATTATGATTTTATGATTGTAGTCGTTATAATTTATGATTATTATTATTATTATTATTATTATTATTATTATTTTGATGATGATTATTTTATTTATGATTATATTTTCATAATTATTATTGTTATTATGATGATGATTATTATTATGTTGCTTGATGATATATTTATGTTGTGATTGCTTGATCACCTTTTATGCATGTTTAAAGGGAATTGGTACTTGTAATCACGCTTAATAAGATATTAATAATCTTGTTAGGGTTAATGTGATTATAATTCAAGTGATCGCCAATAATAGATTTATTTGTGCATTATATTCAACCAACATAGATAAACAGGTTTAGGGTTAATCCTATTGATTGTATGTTAGTCAGAAAGCGCACATGAATACTATCAGAATAAAGTAGAGGCCTATTATTAGGGCAGGTTCAATCTCTTTTAGGTTGAATTTGTACCTTCATCCCCGAACCCTTATTTGGTTCAAGACCTTATGGAGTTGACGATCTCTTGGATCGTTAAGGGGTGTAACCTTCACCTCGTGAACGGTTTACAAGTTCCTAAAAAACTTGTTGGTGATTCTTTTGGTCTATCTTCTTTCCCTTTGGGCGCCACCGTACTTTAGTGTATGATCACAGTGGGGTTCAAGCAAAGGGGATTAACGCTTGAAATTTATTCCCCACAAGCTCCTAATTTCCTTCTCTCATAAAATATTCATTTTAGCTCAATTCAATAGCTCCAATCAGTTCAATTTAGTTTAGTTCAGTTCAGCTCATTTCAGTAAATGAGAACATACCCTTAAACTGCACATTCATCTTATATACGGAGTAGCAACATTTCCCACACATATTTACTAAAATAGCAAACACAATCACATATTAATTTTAATATATTAACTATTACTAAAAAATAAGATGCTCACATCACCATTGCTCGCATGTCGCTCTCTTAATTAACCCGCTTAAATATTTTGTTTGAAAAGCTATCATATTTAACATTTTTGAAATTTAAATATTAGAAACTTATACGTTACAACTTAAACCTATCAATTTATCGTAGAAAGTTGAAACAATTTTAAATAGCACACTAATAAATGACATCCTACATTGACTGTAAATTAGATGACTTATATATGTCTTTTTCTCTATTTGGTGAATTAATACTTTGGTATTTTAGTGGTTAAACCTTGATGGTTCACCCCCCCTAGTTGTATCGATCCTCTTATGTATATATGACTTTTGCTCTATTTTTATATATATATATATATATATATATATATATATATATATATATATATATATATATATATATATATATATATATAATTACTCCGTACTTCATCAAAAAAAATGTTATTACTCCGTATATGACTAGTATAAGTAAACTATTTTTTTTGATAAACATATAGTTGGTCAGGCACCACCAGGACCATGAGTGGCTCCACCACTATATGTGCCCTGATGTTGCATGATTACACACTACTAGAAATAGGCTAAATTTCGAAAAGTAATTTCCGATGGAATATTCTGTTGGAAAATAATTTTTCGAGGAAATAAAATTCGGTCGGAAACTAAATAATAACAAAACAGACTCATTCACTTCTCTGACTAATTCACGAAAGGGAAGAGAGAGAAAGAACGAAAGGGGAAGAGAGAGAAAGAACGAAAGGGAGAAAGAGAAAGAGGAAGATCTGGCGCCGCCACCGCCATCGCCCACCGACAGTAAGTTAGTTGTTTTTTTTTTTGTAAACCCTAACCCCAACTAACTCCTGACCAGCCACCACCCTCCCCCTGAGGAAGATCCGGCGTCGCCACCACCTTTTTCCCGTCTACCAGCCGCCGCTTCGCCACCAACGGTAAGTGAATTTTGGTCTAATTTTTTTTTATTGATTTTGTTTTTCGGTAAACCCTAACCCCACCACATTGTGACCAGCCACCACCATCCCCTTGTGTCTCCCGTGGCCGTTCTCCCGTCCATCCACCGCCGTTTGTCGGCCGATTGTAAGTACTGTTGTTGTTTTTTGTTTTTTTTAAAAAAAACCCTAACCCTAACCCTAACCTGTTTTGGTTTGACAGGGACCACCACCACCTTTGCGTCGGCGACAAAAACCACCACCATCTCTAACCTACGGCCACTGTGTAGAAGGTGGTAAGTCTTGTTGTTCTTAAATTTTTTTTTAAAAACAGTATAATTAAATCTCACACCATAAACTCTAAATCATTTTCAATAAAAAGTGCAGATCTAGAGGTTAGTGACATTAGAAAACCCTAAAATTCTTAGTTTTGTTGATACATGACATGTTAGTGAAATATAGAAATATAATTGTATATAGAAATATGTTAGTTTAGTTTATTTTAATTATGTATGTTAGTTTATTTGGTTAAAAATAGGCATTAGTTTTGTTTATTTTGAAAAAAAACATATGTTATTGTAGTTAAATTAAGCTTAATTATATATGTTAATTTATTTGGTTAAAAATAGGCATTAGTTTAGTTTATTTTGAAAAAAAAAATATGTTAGTTTAGTTTATTTTTTTTTAATTATGTATGTCAGTTTATTTGGTTAAAAATAAGCTTTAGTTTAGTTTACTTTGATAAAAATAATATTTTATTTTAGTTTATTTAATTAATTAAACTAAAATAACATATTATTTGCATTTCCATGACACTTTGATGGATAATGTATAATCAATACGCTTTGTGACTAATGTGATTATACATACATTTGCGTGAGTGACATTATATATAAACCCTAAAATTCTTAGTTTAGTTGATACATGACATGTTAGTGAAATATAGAAATATAATTGTATATAGAAATATGTTAGTTTAGTTTATTTTAAATATTCGGAGTGAAATGGAAGCTGAGATGCAAACCCGAATTCAAGCTGAAGTGGCCGAAATAGAGAGGGGAGCCCAGGAGAGGTGGGATGAGTTCATGAGTCGATTCGCCAGCAACGACACATGTTCCACCATTTAGCCTCAGCATCGAGACCCTAGGGACGACCCGGGTAGTGGAAGAGCAGGCCAGGGTACCTCGGCAATTGTTTAGCCTAACTTAGGTTTATCTAGTATGGACATGTAGTTAATCTAAATTATGTAGCTTTTGATTATATTTCCGCTCTTGTGGAAATGACTACATATTATGTAGCTTTTGATTATGTTCAACTAGGGGCATATCTTTTGTGGAAATATATATAAAAATATTTCCGTAATTCGATTATGATTTAAATTTTAACAGGAATTAGGTGCAGGAGTATAGGTTTTGAATGTTGCAATTTATTTTTGAAAATACAATCTGAATTTGTAGAAATGATCACTGATTTCCGACAGAAATTATATGGCATAAGACGTCAAAAATGAACCTGTTGCGACGGAATAATTGGATGTGAAATCCATCGCAAAATTTAATTATTGCAAGGGAATATAAATTCGTCGCAAATTTGCGATGGATATTTTCGTCGAAATATTGCGACTGAATAATATTTCCTCGTAATTTTTAAATTTTGCGATCTACGACGACCACAGACCACCAACGCACCTTTTTGCTGTAGAGCTAGTCCTCAATCTCCTGCCTGCCGCACGCACGCCGCCACACCGCCTGGCGCCACCGACCGGAGTGATCGAGACATCGAGTGAGTGACTTGTGACCATCGACTGAAGCAGAGCAACTAAACAAGGTATTGTTGCATACTTTGATAGTTTGATTTGTTTCAGATTTGATTGTATTATTTGTATTCAAATGAAGTGAAAATCTGTATACTTGATTGGATATTTGAATTGCTGATTTTTTTTGTTATTTATTAAATGATTTTCAGAATGAAGCGGAAGCGTATAAATAAAATGTATATTATCGCTAGTTTCTTCACTAAATGTAATCCTTCAATTCAACAAAACTCTTCTCCAAGTGAATAAATTTCCACTCTACATCATGCTAGTGAACGACATACCTCTTCCACACACAATTCACCTCAAATTTCCCCTCAAAGATCACCTCAAAATAGCTGACCTCAAATTTCCACTCATAACTCCCCTCAAAATGAAGTGGAAGAATCTTGTCCTCTTAATGTTTTGAGAGATGGTGTTATATTAAGTGAAAATGATCTTGCTAATCTTTATTATTATTAATTCAACATTCTTTGTCTTACTCTCAAGTTAGGGGTCAGGGGTATGACGGGGCAAGTTCAATTAATGGCCTTAGACCTTAATAGAGAAAGAATGTAAACAAGCATACTTTGTTCATTGCTTTGCTCACCAACTTTAGCGGACCCAAGTTGCACTTGCTAGAAAGAATCATGATTCTGCTTGGATATTTAGTGACATGCTTGCACCTCTCTTGAATCTTGTGGGATGCTCACCAAAGAGAAAAGAATTTCTTCGTGAAAAACAAGCTCAAGTAGTTGTTGATGCATTATCCCTAGGTGAACTTGAAACGGGTTCGGGTTTAAATCAAGAATGGGGGTTAAGAAGACCTTGTGACACTCGTTGGGGTTACCACTTTAAAACAATTGTAAATGAGTTGGATATATTTCTTGCGATCCTTGGCTCACTTGATGAGATTGCTAAAGCTGCTGAAGCAAAATATATGAAAGATGATTTTAACAGAGCACAAAGTATTATTGGTTGGTTAATGACTTTTGATTTTGTGTTTATGGCTCACTTAATAGTTGTTGTATTTGCAATTACAAATGAGTTGAATGTTGCTTTGCAAAAACATGAGCAAGATATTGTTAATGCAATGGCCATGGTTAACGCAAACAAGACTAATTTGCAAGAGTTGAGGGAAGGGATTCCCTTATGGAGAAGATCTTGTATGTATTTCACAACCAAATATGAGATTGAGGTTTCAGATATGGCTGCGTCATGTATTGTTCCCGGAAGAAGGATGTTCGGAGGTAAGCATCCGGGGGTGTCTAATCTTCATCATTTTCGAGTTGAGGTGTTTATAAGTGTCATTGATCTTTAGTTACAAGAGCTTGAAAATCGATTTCCCGAGATAAGTAAAGAACTTCTTGTGTGTATGTCCTGTTTTAGTCCAGCTAATCAGATCTCTTCTTTTGACAAATCCAAATTGACCAAGCTAGGAACATTATTCTATCCAAATGAATTTTCAAGCTCGAAATTGATTTACTTTGAACACACATGCACCTCAAAAATTTATTGTCGCCGTTAGATAAGATGAAAGGTTTTTGAATTTGAAGAGTCTTACTAAGTTATCAAATAAACTCGTTGAGATGGGATTGTACAAAAAACATAGTAGAATATACTTGCTTTTGAAGTTGGTGTTGTTTCTCCCCGTTGCAACTGCAAGTGTTGAAAGAGTATTTTTTGGTATGATGGTCATGAAAGATAAATTGCGTAATAGCATGGGAAATCAAATGTTGAATGATTATTTGACTTTTTTTTCTAGAAAGTGATTTGTTTTCCACTGTCAAAATAGATAACATTATAGATCGATATCAAAAAATGAAAACTCCTCGTGAATAACAATTGTAACAGTTTATTGTACTATGTGCTTGTAATATATTATTTGTAGTACTTTTGGTTTGTAACTTGTACGATGAATTATTTAAGTACTATTGGTTGTATTATGGATATTTATGTCTTATTTGTTTGATTGAAATCAAGTTGGTTGTCATATGTGTTTTTTTGTTAATATTTTTGGATTTGAAATTTTTTTTGGTACTTTTGCAGGTCATAAATAATTTAGGGTGACTCACAAGCTTCGAAATCCTGGATCCGCCACTGCATGATACAGATGAATTATAAGTCAAGAAGCAAAACTTGGTTAACCTCTTTCGTGTGTTCAAATTCTGATATTGTGTGGTCTACCTATATATGATTGTTTATTATATACTCTTGGTGTATTGGGTCATTTATAGCAATATGTGTTAGAGGACCAATTCAACCAAAAGCTTAAGCTTATGGTTGAGGCTCAGGAATATGTTTTATATTCTATCACTCCCCCTCACATGAAAGGCCCTTTGGGCTTGAAATGTGGATGTAGCACAGGCCCTCCCATACCCGGCGAATTAATTCCACTTTGAAAGAGGGGTGGATGAGATTCGAACCCGTGACCTTTATGTCACGCTGGCTTCGATACCATATTAGAAGACCAACTCAACCAAAAGCTTAAACTGATGGTTGAGGGTCAGGAATATGCTTTATACTCTATCAATATGATTGAGCATTGTTGTTTAATTTAATGGTGCCACCAATGTTTATTTGATGTAGATTGGGGACATGAGAGTCCAATTGCATCATTTACCTTAATTGTGTGACCTTATAGGGTCTAGTTATAGTTAAAAGTAAGCCTAATTGCATGATTGTACCCAAAGACAGTATAATATTTAGTTTCCAGCAAACGACATGAGTATATGATCCCTAAAATAATTAAATTAATTATTTTCTTATTAATATTTCTTTCATCTCTTTCATTTTTTTTTCTATGTTACAATTTGATTTTTACTATCTCCAATGCATATCTTTATACAAAAAGATGTTCAAATAGATTTTGTGTTAAAATTATTACAATTCAAATTTTAGAAAATTCATTTGAAGACGAATCTAACACGCATCCCATATGATTTGGTTTTGATTTAATAATCCTTGTCCTCACTAAGAGGAGCTTTTATAGTCATGTTAATAATCCTTGTCCTCCACTTTCTCTCTCTACAAAACCTTCACCGCCTCACCACCGCTACGTCCACCGCCTCGTCTCTTTCTCTGTTTGCTCGCCGGCGATAGGTGCTCCTTCTCCTAGCTGTCGCCGGCGATGCTAGTAGCATGTCTATAGTTTCTTTTTTTGGTTGTTTCTCTTCGCCTCTTTCAAAGTACGGCTGATGACGAGGGTGATTGTTTGGAGCAACGTTGTATTCTCTGTTTCTAGGTGTTTCGTTCCCTTTCTCGTTGTTTACTGCTCTTTTCTTTTTTCGTTTACTTTCGTTTCCATTGGTTTAGCTTTCTTTGTCCTTTTATGCCTTTTATTTTCCTTCTCTACTTGCAGCTTTCTTTAGGAGTTTAGTTGTGGTTGTTCTGGTTTTATATTTTGTTTTCCTTTTGTGTTTTTTCTCCTTCAAAGGTGTGGTCTCTATTGGTTTTTTTTAGAGTTTTGGAGTAATTGGCATCAGTTCTTTTCTCTATAATCATATTTTATGTTTGAAAGAATAAAGGTGTTGTCTCTTTTGCTTTGTAGAAGCTGGTGAGATGGTGTGTTTGGTGGAATTTTCTTTTTTCTTTGGTTGTTAGTTGTTCTTCTAGGTGTATATCCTACTCTTACTCTGTTTCTAGTTTTGATTATGGAGTTATTTCCTGCTTTCATTTCTTTTTATCTTCTGGATGATTTTAATGATGAAAGTATCATCCACTTCCTTTCCTCTATGGATAAACCCAGTGACGTCGTAGTTCGTTCCTCGAAGTTCAAGGAGCAAGGGAACTCCTTGTTCAAGGCTGACAAGTTTAAACTTGCCTTTTCCAAGTATGAGTTGGCTAGTAAATTGTTATGTTTTACTATGCCGTGTTCTATGGAAGCTTTTGCTTTGTTTCGATCTTTGGCTTTTGCTTTGCATCTTAATCTTGCGGCTTGTGCTTTGAAGCTTCTTGATTATTCTTCTATTGTTAAGCTTTGTTCCTTCGTGTTAGTGTTTAATTCCGATCATATAAAGGCTCTTTATAGGAGAGCTTCTGCGTATCAAGAATTAGGCAAGCTTCGTTCCGCTAGAAAGGATCTGGTTAAGGCTACTAAAAGTGATCCTAATAATACAGAGGTGTTAACAAAGTTGCATTGTGTCGAAGGTTTGTTACAAGATGTGTCTTTAGTCGATAAAAAACAAAGGGGTAAGTTGGTCAAGTCTGTTACCCAAGTTGAGTTGACTTCTCAAGTTCCTAATGACTGTGTAGTTGGTTGTGAGGTAAACAAGGATTGTTGTTATGCGGAAGTGGTTCAAACTGCTGGGGTTCAATGTAGTGGTTTAAGTCCAGCTGTTTGAGAGCCAGTATTATTGTCTAGTTCGTTTAGTGATGACAAAGAATGTATTTTCCCATCACCAGCTTCAGAGAGTGCTGATATGGAATGTGATTTCCAATCAGATTCGGTTGGTAATGATATGGATTGTGAGTCGTTACCACCTTCTCCTCAGGTTGAAGTCCCTCGTATGCATGAGTTTGTTTCTCGACATGGTTCGAGTTCATCCCTTCGACTTTCTCCTTCAAATTTACAGCAAGTTATGCAAGGCAAGGTCATTCAGTTCTACCATTCTAAGTCTATGTCGTTAATGTCAATTCGGGTTCATCCCAGTAAAACTTCTATCCAGACCGAGCTCCCCCAAGATGTAACTTCAAGGGAAGCAGCGGCCTCTATTTCCACTTCAGTTAAGTCCCCTAGTGGATTGGAGCAACAGACAGTTTCCACTTTAGAGTTCCTGAAAGCTCTTATTTTGCAGTCCACGTATGCTCTGGTTTTGCAGTCTTATCCGGAGGAAATGATCACCTCTATTACGACAGAGGTCTCCCACGATGTGAAGTCCAGTGTAGCGATGTTCCCTACCGTTACTTCACAAAAGGTTTCATGTGATGATTATCGGCAGACGGTGCCCATTCTAGAGTCTCAGCCGGTTCTCACTTTGCACCAATCCTTAGGTGCTCCTGTGATGCACAACAGTTCGGAGTGCATGACTACCTTTTCTAATTCTGATAGTAAGATGGGAGAGATGAATTCGCAGGAGTTTGTGGGAAAAGTTTGTGTTCCAAGTTATCGGTTCTCCACTTTGCATTTCAGCGCCAAGGTTTCGGGGCAACCACTTCATCGTCGTCAATCTATTTATCACCCTCGTTTTAGGAAAATTAGTTCTTTGATGGGTCGACCTATATCACATGCAGGATGTCAAGTGCTTCGTGTGGGTGCAAAGCGTGGTCGTGGGCCTAGTGTGGACTTCAAGTACTCCAACTTGGCTCGAATAAAGTTTGCTCGCAAGTGTCTTTTTGGGTTTGTGTAGTGTAGTTGTTGGTTGCTTTCTTTTATGTATTTTTTTATTAGTACTCATTGTCAAAAAAAAAAAAAAAAAAAAAAATCCTTGTCCATACATGACATGAGTAGTACTTTTATAAAATTTTTAAAAGTTGATGACAAAAGTCAAAACGTAATAAATAAAAAGAATTGGAAGTAGCTTCAAATATTTACTCCGTAAAATTTACTCTCTTCGTCCCTTTATTAGAGACCTCACGTAATAGAGAGAAATGAGAATCTAATTAAGGAATTGAATGAGTATTTATGAGGCCTTCCAAATAGAGGTTTGATAGGTACCTGGACATACATATTAAGGGCATAAAAGACATTTCGCATGAAATTTACCCATCTCTCTCCTCCTTTCTCTCACCCCCACGTGTTGAATTTAAGTGTACCACTGGGTGATTAATAGTATCACTAGATGATCAAATAGTATCATTGAACATTCAGTGGTACACTGGTACTATATATTCATTTAATGGTACTGTATATTCATTAAGTGGTACTAAGGCCCTGTTCTCTTTACCTTAATTTTGCTGAACTGAAATTATCTTTAATGAACTGAAATTATTTTTGCTGAACTTAAATTATTTTTACTGAATTTAATTAATTTTACTGAACTGAAATTATTTTTGCTGAACTGAAATTATTTTTTTTTTACTGATTTTTCTATTATAAATCTTTTTTAAGAAAACTGAATTTTACTGAACTGAAATTATTTTTACTGAACTGAAATTATTTTTACTAAATTGAAATTATTTTTACTTAATATTATTTTTTTAAGGTGAACAGAACAGGGCCTAACTACGTGTAAAAATAGTATCACTACATAGTCAATGATTTTATACAAGCTTCCAGTGATACATTTAAAACTGGTCTCACGTGCCCATCTCTCTCCTCCTTTTCTTTCACCCCTATGTGCTTTACAATACTTTAAGGTTTGCAAATACATATCAAACCTA